GGGGGGGGGCGCGTCTCCCCGGGAGCCCCCACCGTTTGTCAAGAGAGTGGCCTCGGAATTATTAACTTGGAGCCGTGGGCCATCTCCTGGCATGTGCGCGGAAGGGCGGGGGAGCCGGCCTGGAAGAGTGTGACGCACGGGAAGGAAAAGCCAGAAGTGTTCTGGGTGAAGGGCTGGGAGGGTGGGTCCGCTCCCAGCGCTGGGAATCTTGTGCTGTTTGGGCATATTCTTTGCTTTTACTAACCTCGTTTCAATGTGACTTTGAGGGTTCACAGTAGGGGAGCAGCAGAGAAATCGGTGGTTCACTGCATTTTTTTTTTTCCTTACTGATTTTCTATGTTCCTTTTGAGTCCCATTGTTGTCTATGTCCAACGTATGGGTAGGGATGTTCTAAAGTTAATGTGCGGGGCTGGCCCCCTGACATAGTGGTTAAGTTCGCGCGCTGGGCTCCTGCAGCCCTGGGTTTGCGGGTTTGAACCTCGGGCACGCACATACACAGCGCTCATCAAGCCATGCTGAGGTGGGTTCCCATATACAAAAAATAGAGGAAGATCGGCACAGATGTTAGCTCAGGGACAATCTTCCTCACCAAACAAATAATAATAATAAAATAAAGTTAATGTGCAAGAAGAAAATTGTGTGCAGTCAAAATTATCCTTGAATAAGACTTAAATTGCAATATCCAAGGCATTATGTAAATAACCCTGAACAGTCATTCTCAGGCAAGCTAAAATTTAATAACCACTGAGCTAGACTCTGGAAGAACAAATATATATCTTTCTGAACATTTGAATTACTTTGCTGTTAAGACAGAATTTTGAATTCAATAGACCTGGGTGGGATCTGAGAAGTTTTAAGATGCTGCTGTTGCCAGTGCAAGCATACTTTGAGAACCACAGCTCTCAAATCCCCCCTGATGACTGGGGGTGGGAGTGGGGGTGGAATTCTAAAGCATTTCTATTTGGCTGCAAGGTTTAGTTCCTTCTATTTTAATATTGAACTTCTGCAGACTTAATACACGTGTTTGTGGCTGTCAACACGTGTGAAAGCTTATGGCACTGGGACTGGTATTTAGTGGATGTTCAATAGCTGTTTACTGGATTTGAATATAGAGCTTGTTTGGTCAGACCAGTGTGGAATTTCCAAAGTATCAGAAATATCTTAATTTCAGGGATTGCACCATTTACTCAATGTTCAGGAAATATTTCCTTGTACCTACTATGTACCAGGCACTGTGCTAGGAACTGGGAATAGAGAGGTGACTTAGATGTGACCCGGCATGATCCCCTAAATTCTAAGGTGGAGTTAAGCACAGAAGGGGAGCCTGGGGAGGAGGGCTCGAGGCTGGCTGGCTTCACAGAGGAGGAAATGTCGCCCGCAGGCGAGCCTGGTGACCCCCCGCAGGCCACTGAATTCGGAGAACTCTGGCCTGCCAAGAGGGATAGAGCCTTCCCAGCAGAGGCATGCAGGGAGCTGCAGGCTGATCCTGAATCCCCTCTGGCAACCCTGGCTCACTGGGCCCTTGCTCACCTGCAGTGGGGTCAGCAGATGGGCACTGGCCTGTCACTTCTCTCTGGCACTCTCCTGGGGTCCCAGCAGCCATCAGTTCAGCTGGGGACAGTTAGAATTAGCCAAGGAAACCCCTGGCAGAATCGCAGACCCAGGAGGCAGGTGGTTAGCCTGCTCAGGACTTCTCCTGGCTTCCAGCCCACATCCTCTATTCTTTCCTGCTTATCTTTCTTCATTTGGGGGCCCCCCACTTCCAACCTCCCCCTTTCCAAGTTTTCTCTATATCAGCCACGTTCTCTTTATTTTTCACACTTGGTTGAAACTATTTGAATATCTTAATGCCTTTTGTTTCAAAGGGGAGAAGCCAGGCTCTAACACCTACAGGTGGTCAGTGGGGGCTGTTGGTGTTGGGGGTAGGGGGTGCTCACTGAGCCGAGTACGCAGGCACAGCCGAGTTAAGAGCTTGGTCCTCTAACAGGAGCCACATCGCCAGATTTGAATCCTGGCTCAGCAACAGCTCAGCCCTCTGCCTTGGGGCAAGTTGCTTAACTCTCTGAGTCTCAGTTTCCAGTCTGTAAAATGGGTATTATAATAGTAGGGCCTTCTGTATAGGATTGTTGTGAGGCTAAGATACTGTCATGTTAAAAAAAGCACTTGGTACCATGCCTGGCTTATAAGCACTCCACAGAAGTCAGTACCAACAGTATTAATATGATTACTGTTATTCTTACAAGTTATTACTAAGCAGCATCCTGCCCATGGTGGCCTGTGAGCTCTCACTGGAGGAAGGAAAGGAGCTGGAAGCAATTTAAGCTTGTTTATCACCCGACAGCACCCTCGCCTCGGCTCCTGCACTGCCCCAGGCAGATTCTCCCCTCTGTGAGGCTGCCCTGGGGGTCAGTGGGAGGGGAAGGCTTCCTTGGATGGGTCATCTCCATCCTTCATGGGGATGGGGGGTGCTCTGGGCTTGCCCATCTGTCTCCTCCTGATCGATGGTCGTGGGCTCCCTGGGAACACCACGGGGGAGGGAAAGCCTGTTAATCACCCTCGGTAGAGGTAATCCCCGAGGTAACCAGATGCAGTATTTCTTGAGGCTCACTCTTTTCCAGGTTCTGTTTCATTGAGTCCTCTGAGGCTGGTGTCACTCCCATTATGCAGGTAGAGAACTGAGGTTCAGAGCTTTTCCCAAGGTCTTTATGAAAGTGGCAAATATCAGACGAGTTTAGATCCAAAGCTTGCGTTCATGACCACTACACTGCTCTCTCCTACACTCAGGGCCAGCCTCACAGGCGTGGGGCCTGTGCAGCGGCCTTCTAAGACCTCAAGCTCGGTTTAATGCTCTGCTGTCACCATCTTCAAATTCTTAATAATTTTGAGCAAGAAGCCCCACAGTTTCATTTTGCACCAGGTTGTACAAATTATGTAGCTGGTCCTGCCTACTCTCTTTTGTAGAGAGGATGTCTTCCTTGCAAAGGAAAGGAAACTGAGGTGCAGAGAGGGGGACATGACTGGCACAAGGCCATGTGGCAAGTTGGTGGCAGAACTAGAACCAGGTCTCCTGACCCCCTATTCAGTGGAATTCTCTGGAAACACTTGTATGTCCAACTGTGCCCTCGATGGGGGAAGTTTCAGAAGGAGCCAGTGACTGGGCCGGGGGGTGGAGGAGGGGAAGGGCTCCCACTCAACAAACCACCTCTCCCACCTGGCCCTTCTGGGACTGAAAGGTCCACCTGCTGCCTTCTGGTCTGCCCACTTTGGAGCCCAGGGGCCAGGCTTTCCTGAGGGGCTGGGCAAGGCCAATGAGCACTCAGCTCTCTCTAGAGTGGCATTGAGGGACTAAGGGACATGGGATGGGGGTGGGAGAAGAGGTGGCCATAGAATGTGACACTCAGGAACTGGACTGTCTGTGCTTTGACCCGATCCCCTGCCCCTCCTCTGAGACCCAGTGAGACTGACATCCTGTTACCTGAGCTGGATGGGTGGACACCCATGCTCAGATATCTGTGGCCCATGATCTCTGTAGAATCCTGCTTGAGGCATGCATGCTGTGTGACTGCGTGTGTGTGTGTGTGTGTGTGTGTGTGTGTTGTGGGGACTGTGGGAAACAGATTGAGTAGAGAGAAAACATGCAGTCCTAGCTGCTTTCATTCACTTTTTAATTTCACAGATACGGCAGATTTGGGGAATAGAGCCCGAAAATACAAATGTCCTTGGGATGCTTACAGTCTGGTGGGCAAGACAGACAATAAAACAAATAATCACACAAATAAATACATAAATTTGTTTCCTAGTGCCCTGTTTTTTCCTTCATGGAGCAATTCATAGTTTGAAATAATGGGGTTATTGGTATGCTCTCTGGTGTAATGGATATGAACTCCATACCTATCCCAGCTGACGCCCCAACAGGCCTTGGCTTTATGGAAGCATTCAGATTGTGGCTGGGAATGAGACTGATGTTCGTGCTCCAAATAACTCACTTGTGGATGCCTGAAATTTCACTGGGGGTCTTTCTGTAGGATTAAGCATTATTTTTTTTCTGACACCCTGTGTAAAATTCAAATCGCTGGGGGTAGGGGTGGCGGGTGGGTTCACTGAGTTCATAACATGGCAGTGCTGTGTCATGAGACAGGGCTGCCCAAGAGTCCTGGACCCCAAAAGATGCCCCTGCTGGGTACCAGAAGGGGAGCCAGAGGGCCGCAAGACAATCTTCTCCATCATCCTCTGCTGCAGACTCAGCCCAGCTCTGCCTGCAGAAGGGGGAGCCAAAGGGAGGTAGGGGAGAGTAAGGCCCAGTCAAAACCCAAACCCAGAAGCCCAGCGGCCGCACTCTGCTGGCTGAAAAAGCCCGGAGCTCCAGCTCCCTCTTACCTGCAGGGCCCTGTGTATCACATCTGCCCCTCCCTTATCCGTCCTGCTTTCCTCAATGACAGCTCTGTGGCTGCCCACAGGACTTGACAAGAACTTTCCAGGTTCTTGAAACACACTCAGCTACCATCTCCCCAACCTTTCTGTGCGCCTATCAGCTCTCCTGCCCAGAGGCTAAATTCAGCACTCTGTGTGGGGTCGGGAGGAAGAGTTTGGAACGCAGCCACCCTAGAGAGGCCCTGGAGTGAGGCAGAGCAAGGTCTCCCTGGCGGCTGGAGCACTGCCCCGGGCGTGGCCGGGCTGCCCGTCTGGTCCCCTCGCACAAGAATCTGCACGCTTCCTCCATGCCTTGCTTCCTTCCTCTTGTTCCTCCCTCGCCAACCTACCTGGAGGCAGGTAATAAAGCAGGAGGAGGGAGATGGATGGATGGGGAGGGCGGAGAGCCACGTGGTGCCATAAAGCCCAGGTAGAGAGGGCCGCCTGGGGAGTGTCCAGCCAACGCTCGGAAGGTGGACTGTCAGCCTTGTGAGCGGGAGCCGGAGCATCAAGGCCTCGGAGAAGGCCATGCACCGAGGCGCACCAGGACCGGGCCTCAGAGGCCTGAAGGGGGCCGAAGGCTCAGCTGAGGACTTGGGGGACTCTTGCCTGGAGGCCGGGAGAGATTTTGGGGTGCTGAGAGAGAACGGCGCCCCCCGCGGCCTGGGCGAGGCAGACGAGGTGGCGAGCGGCAGAAAGCGCGCGCGGCCGGTGCGATCCAAGGCGCGGCGCATGGCGGCCAACGTGCGGGAGCGCAAGCGCATCCTGGACTACAACGAGGCTTTCAACGCGCTGCGCCGGGCGCTGCGGCACGACCTGGGCGGCAAGAGGCTCTCCAAGATCGCCACGCTGCGCAGGGCCATCCACCGCATCACGGCGCTCTCCCTCGTCCTGC